AGTGAGGGCGTGATGAAATATGCATAAAATTAAAATAATTTAACTAAAAAGGTCCTTTGTTTTAACGCAAGTTACCAGCAAAAGTTGCGTAGTACATACGCCTGAGAGTTTTCGCAGGTGATAGTGGGACCAAACAACATGATGGAGCTAGGCGCGGAAAATCAGTCACAAATTTTGCCTCAACGTCCAAATTCAGCGTGATATCGCTATGTGGTAATCCATGAGAACAGGCGACAATATAAAAGTTCGGTGCAATGGTTATCGATTCAAAGGTAGAAATGTTATCACATCAAGGCATTCTTCTTATTAAAGTCGGTTGAAGAGACCGCATATAGAAGTCTGCTGACTGCTCTAGTGTGAGCTGATGGGTTTTAAAAGTATTCAGTGGAGAGTCGCAGCCGATACACCGCATTGTTGTCAACATGAACTTGCGACTTTTATTGGGAAAACGCGTTCCAGACGAAAAGACACTACGTCATGGTCTAATGACTTAGGTTACTTTGAAAAGTAGTGCAGTCGATTGCCCGCCAACTTTCGTTGCCCGCTGCCCGGTTGGCTTAGGCATGCTCCGCCACTAGTGGTTAAAACCGCTCGAAGGTGGAAGTGCGTCGTGGAGTCGGACTAGGAGTGCTGCAGTTGTGAAAATTAGTCGAGGTAATAACGACTGCCTGCTTTTTCCGTGGTAGGCGTGTACGGATTATGCAGGCACTGTGTCCAGTTATCTAGTCTGAATTTGTCATAAGTTTTGTGAGTGCATCTGAGCCTAATGGCTGTATACTTCCATATCAGAAAACAATGCCACTTATTTGGCTAATGCGGGCACTCTAAGAAGTGTGTTGTCTGTCAAACAAGATCTGAATTACAACAAAGGTAAAAGAGATTTGGTATACGTGTCTCCGAGGTCTAATTAAACCATGAAATTGTTGTGCTGTACAACTGGAATATTTGGGATGTCGTCCTTTTCCACCGCGTTATTGAACCAATAGTATGGTCAGCTAGGGATCTTGCAACTGGACGGATCGGGGACTGTGAATAGCACATAAAATATTTCAGTATGCAATATACGCCTATTAATCGTAAAGTTAAGAATATGTAAACTATTCCTATTTAAATATAGTGGTACATACATTTAGGTTGCGATATGTTAATACTCATAGGGTATACATATCAATGTTTACAAGTACGAGGTATGGATGTTCCAAATATAGGGCAAGTACATAAATCTGCAACAAATTATAATAAGTTAGTTTACACAATGCTAGTTTAGGTCATACTAGTACTAAACATACTAAAGTATTCACAACATGCAATTTGAGTCGCCGTGCAATGCATAATCTGCTTAAGTAATTCAAGAAGCAATGTGTTTGCATGCTTACGCAAAATAATTAAATTAAATTAGTCAATGTTAATGCATATGATAGAAAAACCGGACGACGTCTATCCTTAAAATGTCTTTGCTTTACCGTATTGCACCACGCTTCCAACTTTGCCGGTTAAAACAAACATGGCCAGCTGTTATGGTGTAGCCGGTCCGAGATCGTCTCGGTAACACGTTAACAGGTATGTTTGATCAGTTTTGATTCCTAAGATCCTTGCCCTGATTTCCCTCAGGCACTTATCCTTCACTCTTCCAAACTTACTTGCCTCTTACTGCGCGGTTGAGCAGTTATGCGGGTTAAGGTCAATGATACGTTCTCAGTCACCCTCTTTATGAGCAGTGGTGTCCCCCAGGGCTCTGTTCTCGATCCGGAGTTGTTCATGTTCTTTATTAATGACCTCCTTTAACTTTCCGGACCGAATGTATTATCTATGCTGACGATTTAGTTATGGATTGAATTATCCAACGCTGAGGATGCTGACCGAATCCAAAATACACTGGGTCGGCTATACCATTGATCATTTGAATGGTAGTTACCTATAACTCGCGATAAATGTTCTGTACTCCCCATCGGTGCCACTGAAACATTCGGTGTTTACCACTGGCGGTTATTTGCTTGATAATGGGAAACAGGAGACCATGGGGTTCATTGAGTTCATTGAGTGGTAGAGAGCAGAAGGGGGTCCCGTGTCAGCTCCTTCGCTTCCCGATCTTCCAAGGATTGCAAGCGAGTTGGCTGTCATGGCTCAGGATGTAATACCAGCCCTGCAGGATCCTGGAGTACTCAGTAGGAAGATGTCTAGCAAACGTTTGAAACTCGCTTCTGATTGCGCATTGACAATCGGGTCCGGCAGTCGGTTCCAATCATTAGTCACTCGAGTAGAGAGAGCGACATCTGAGCGGACTTTGAGCCTCCTCGGTTTAAAAAGCTTCCAGCTGTGACCTCGAGTCGAGCTGCCAAGTCTTAGCTGAAAGAACTGCCTTAGCTCGTTTCCCAGTTCTCCTCGTAGGATGCGCCTGGTATAGATGAGGTCTCCGCGACGTCGGCGATAGTCTAAGGGAAAAAGGTTCATCCTCTGTAGGCGGGTGGGGTACGGGAGGTTGCGTAGCCCAAGGACAAATTTCGAGGCTCGTCGCTGTATTTTTTCGATCTTGTCACTTTCATGTTTAGATAAGGGGGCTATGGCCGGATGTCCGAATTCAAGAATGGGACGGATATGGGAGGTGAAGAGAAGTCTAAATATCTGCGGCGTCATTTTAGAGAATGATCTCCTTATGGCGCCCCACATCCTGTTCGCCGCAGCAGTTTTCTTTAACGTGTCAAGGGTCGTTTTGAGATCAGAGGAGATTATTGTCCCCAGGTCCTTTTCCTGTGTGGCAATCTTGAGTAGGTGCCCGCCAATGTGATAGATGCCCAGTGGTTCAGCAGCACCTATAGAAAGGACTGAGCATTTATCTTTGTTGACCGGCAAACCCCACTTGATAGACCAGGAGTGTAGTAGATCAAGCGTTTCCTGCAGTCGGTCGGCATCTTCGAGGCTGGACACTTCCGACCATAGCTTGAGATCGTCTGCATAGATCAGACAGTCCGTTTGTAGAATACTTGGTAGATCATTGATATATATTTTGAACAATTCCGGTCCGAGAACGGAGCCTTGTGGTACGCCACTATACATGGGCACGGGGAATGAGAGGGTATCGTTTACTTTGACTTGCATGTTCCGGCCTTGCAAGAAGTCACTGATCCATAGTAGGAGGTTCCCTGTCACGCCAATTCCGCCGAGCTTAGAGAGTAGTTCCTGATGTGGGACTCTGTCAAAAGCTTTGCTGAAGTCGATGAAGACCACATCTAAACGTTTTCCAGCGTCCACTAATTTGGCCCACTTCTCTCTAGCGACCAACAGGTTAGTGATGCAGGAGTGCCCCTTTCGGAAGCCATGCTGAGTGACTGAGGTGAAGTTCAGATCTTCGCAGTGTCGGTGGAGAGCAGATTTAATGAGCTTTTCCATGATCTTGCAGGCGACCGACGTCAAGCAAATTGGCCGATAGTTCGCAGGGTCCTGGCGGCTTCCCCCTTTGTATTTCGGCATAACTACACCCGTCTTCCAATCGACAGGTAGTCGACCAGCTTTAAGAGAGAGCTGAAAGATTTGACAAAGTGGGACGGCAATGAATTCTGCAACCATCTTGAGAAAGTGTGGATGTAACCCGTCTGGGCCTGGTGAGGAAGAGGAGTTCAGTTCTAGTAGTAGCTTCAAGATAGCACCTGCATCGATGTCGATATGTTCCAGAGGTACTGTGTGCGCAACTATATGAGGGTTTGCGAGTCTGTCTCCCTTCGTATATACTGAGGAGAACTGTAGAGCCAAGAGGTCAGCTTTGGCGTCATCATCATAGTGTATCATATCTGGCTCATTGGTAGACAATGCAGGAATTCCACAGCCCGTCTTGGAGGATCTATTGAGGTAAGAAAATAGTATCTTTGGCCTAGAGAGAGATTGTTCGGCCAGGCTATGTTCGTATCGTTGTCTCTTTTCACGTTTCTGCAGGGAGCAGAAGTTCCTGATGGCTTTGTATTTAGAGTAGTCTGAGTCTGAGCGGGAAAGCTTGAATCTGTCCCATAGTTTTCGTCGTTGTTTCATGTTGGCCCTTAGTTCTCGGTCGATCCAGGGAGGACCCTTAGAAAGAGGCCTGTTCTTCTTGAATGGGACGGCCTCCTCGATGAGAAGCTTCAATTTGCGGGATAAATCGTTCCAAGCAGCATCGAGATCTAAGTGTTGTGGAACATTCCAGTCCAATGTACCTGCTGCCACCCTTAGCTTGAATGCGTCGGTTCGCCAGAAGTTGCGACGGTGTGCGCTCCGGGTTCGGATAGCTAGACGTTTAGTCCATAGGAAGGAGATTGTACAATGGTCGCTTTTGCCTATGGGTGGTAGAAGGGTCAATTCTGAGACATCTGCCAGGGACGGAGTGAGCACAAGATCAAGAATGTGCGGAGTCTGGCCGGGAAGAAGCCTGGTGGGCGATGTTATATGCTGGGTGAGATTCGTTTTGAGGACAGTTTCAAGGAGGCTGGTGTCAAATGACTCGGGGGAAAGGTGGCAGTGTAGTAGATCCCAATTGATATGCGGGGCATTGAAGTCGCCCACAATAAGACAATCTCTGCGGTTTCCATGCGAGTTGATAAAGTCTAGTACAGAAGTACCATGTCCCCACGGGGCTTTGTAGATGACGCCAACCATAAGGGATTTGAAGCCATCGTTGATCCTACACCAGAGTAGCTCTGCGCCACCAACAGCGTCGCTGACGGTTTCTACGAGATGAACTTGAAGATCCTCTCTCCAGTAGAGTACTACGCCACCACCAACTCTAAATCCAGATCGGTCAGTACGGAAAAGTTGGTATCCTGAGATGTGGATCTCAGAGTCGGAGATGTCTGAAGTGAGCCAAGTCTCAGTGAAGGCCAACAGGTCAGGAAGTAGCTTTGCGGTAAGAGCATGTACCTCGTCAAATTTGTTTCTGAGACTACGGACATTTGCAACCAATACCTGTAGTCCATTCTTTCTCCTTGTTTTTAAGTCCCGGGGATGAGGAACAGTGGTTTCCAGCGGGACCTTATAGTTTATTGTCCGGGGGTGAGGAGAATGGGCCTCCAACGTGTTTTCGGAGTCCTTCGAACTACTCGAAAATCCACAATATGGAGGTCTGTTTCACCACTTCCCCGTCTTGTGCGTAGTTCTTCTACGGCCTTTTTCATTTTGACTCGATCTTCTGGTGAGAGGTCACGAAGTACATAGAATGGCTCGCCTTTGAGACGCGAGGTCCTTCGCAGGATGCGTCGGCATTCCTCCTCATCCCGGCAAACGATTTTAAGGGGGCGATTTCTCGAGATATCCTCTTGTTTTTTACCAAGACGGAAGGCAGATACAATATTGATTCCCTGTTCACCTTTGTCAAATAGCAATGAGACCAATCGCTCAAGCAGTGTTTGGTCATCTAGTATTCGTTCCGCAGGGGTTGGTTTTTCCGATTCCGCTGCGTTCATGATGATAAGACAACGGTCGCGAGATGGCTGGGTACGTTCAGGAACATGTGGCTTGCTACGGGGCGGATTTTCCTTGGCAGCTTTCTCAAGCTCAGATAGTCTGTCGAGAACAAGCTTCATTTGAGACTGAGATGATAGCTTAGGTTTGGGTTTCTCGACGGGCTTAGGCCTGGACTTGGCGCCACCTGTAGTCGGGCTATTGCAAATAGGGACAGAGACCGCGCTTTCCCTCACAACTGCCGCATAAGATCTTGTGGTGGGATCAGTGGGCAGGATCTGTGTAGATGGATCCGTATGCGTAGTGGACGTGGTTCGACTTCGCTTGCCTATGGGGGTGATCCAACCGGAGGTAGATGTTGATGGTGAGCACGGTGGAGCAGATGTATCGTGAATCGTATCAGGCTTCGTCGGAGAAGAAGAATCAATGCTCAACGCAGATAGTCCGGCGAGAAGACGCCTGCAATTCAGTGAGGCACGGCAGTTGTCGCAAAAGAAATTGATGGCAGGCGAGGTGAATCGCTGCAAGTGCATATATTGATCAGGACAGATGCCGCAGCAGGCGATGTGCATCCACCCATCACATTCAGAGCACTGCACTGCTTTGGAACGGGTGGTGACACCTTTACTACAGGACAAGCATTTGGACGCCATGAAAGATGAGGTCCAAATATTCACTAGATGATTCTCCAGAAACGATCTTTACTCTCTTTTCTTCGCCCAGAAGATCACAGTGGAACGTAACACACAAGAGGACGTCGCTCTCACAGGTACAGGTACAGGTACACTAGGTGGATGTCATACCGTTCATTTATTATTATTATATGCTCTGATCTAAAAACCACCCAAGATACTTTGAGGAGGGTTACCGTTTCTAACAGACTTTGTGCTCTATCCGAAGAGCCACCTCACAATTGACGCCGGAGATTTTCAGACTTGTGTTTTCCTCCCAATCTTCGAATATGGATTACCCGCAGTTCATCCGCTTAGATAGTTTGGACATGGCTTGATTGAGAAGCTTCAGCGGCGCGGTTCTGAGTGCATTCTTGTTCTCCTACACCTGCTATATCACATTCGTCTCCAGCACTTGAATATGTTCTCTCTGGCATATCGGCGTCGCCGAGACGATCTGATCTACGCTCGGCGCATTCTGCGAGGTGAGATTGGAATCGAGCTCCAAGGTTTCTTCCAGATTAACACTGTGTTCGACTCGGGGCCCCTGCTGTAAACTGTTTAAACCTAGAAGACAGGCTTCGCTTTTATATTACTCTATCGACTCGTGTGGTTCAAGTTCAATTGGGACCGAAACAGTAGGAAAATCCCGCGAATGTTCCACCTTCGACAACGTCGTTGATTTAACAGGGAAAACGGTGCCTTGATGTGCCAAAGAAGAGCCAAATCAACACACGATTTATATGGTCAACCAAACAATGCCCGCGTGCCCTGCACTAGCAGTCCCCTCTGTGCCGGCCACGTGAAGAATAAAATAAAACAATAGTGTCAGTAAAGGAAAAAAAACCAAGCCGAACACAAGCTAATCGAATATCGTACGCAATATTAAGATGTAAGTTAAAATGAGTTAAAGAAACGTAGGCCGTAGTAGACGAATAAAAGTTTAAGACACGAAGGGGAAGACTTTAAACTGCAGACCGAGAACGTCAAGTCGATGCTCGAACTCTTTCACCGTCGGTGCCCTCACGACGTCTGCAGGCAATGTGTTCCAATAAGCTATAACCCTACGCGATAACTTAAAAGTTGCCTAAACCCGGTCAGACCGGGGTTTGTGCAACTTTTGATGGGTGGCCACGAAGAGTTGGCATTCGAGTTGGGCGAAACAGTCCAGACAAATCAGGACCAGTCTGATCCATCAGTATGCGATATGTAAGGACCAAGTCGCCCCGAAGCCGCCTGTAATACATGGAAAACATATCCAACTTACGTAGCCTCTCCGGGTACGTCAGCTTCTTTAATTCGTGCACCATTTTCGTCCCGGACCGCAAGACTCGTTCAACTGCCATCTTATCACGAACCAGGCATGGAGGACAAGCCTGGAAGAAGTATTCCAAGTGCGGCCTTACAAAAGCCGAAAATAGTCTAACGAACGTGTCGGTGGTCATGATCCCGAATGACCTGCGGATCATCCACATGTTGAAGCCTTTGCGACTGGACCTCCTTGCCTGATTCCGTCGTCAATACAGACACTGAGGAATGTTTTAAACGATTGTTGTATTTATACTTGTTGAATTACCAGGGATCTTGTTGTTTCTTACGCAACTGTGACATTATAACTTGTTGCTTGCTGTTGCGCAAACATCTGCTATGATTGGGAGGTGATGGAGCTGACACAGGTCTTTCCTTGTACTCAACATTCCAATGATCCAGCCGTCTACGAGGTATTTATTTTGTTGCGGCTCGTCATACTCTTGGACATCAAAGAGCTTCGAACGCCGAACCAGAAGAATATTACATGCTTGGCGACCCTGCCACTTCACGACAGCAGTCCACGAAGGTAGATTGTAATCCTTGAGGCAATAGTTAACTTTTTTTCTATCGTGCTGCTTGTCGTTGATTCTCGCGCGTCTAGTATAGCGCGTTCCACACCTCTTGTAGGTACACAAATTGGTGCCGGTAGGGACCATTATGGGCGCTGAGGACAGCGCCTGCTAAGACAAGGAATAATGTAGCCGGTCTAAGGGCGTCACGGTATCAAGTTAACAGGTAAGGGGTCGATCGGTTTTGCTTCCTATTATCCTTACCCTCTTAATCCTCTCCGGCACTTTTCCTTGCCTCTTTCATGCTTCCTTAGCTGCTTCCTTACATCGGCCTCTTACTAGACGGTTGAGCATCCAGCCGTCTACGAGGTATTTGTGTTGCATTGCAGCTCTAAGAGTCCTTTACGACTCGTCATACTATATGGACACAGAGGACCTTGGAACGCCGAACCGGAGCAGTAGTACAATGGATCTTATCGAGACTAATGGAAACTATATCATCAGGTACGGCGACAAGGCCTTGTATTGCGATCGATTGTCTGGGAAGCTAAGTATTCAGGACGGTAAGTACAACTATCGTTTTTGTTTCACTATGGTTGTTTGGCTCTGTAACTTTGCGTTTATCAACCCAGCACCGTCCAATGTTTGCAACTGTAACTTTGCGTCAATACATCAGTATCTTATGTTGCTACGAACGTTCGTTTCTTTGTCTACTAACATTTAGCATTTGGAGCAATCGGCTTGTTTAGCAGTTGCGATTTGTCGACGCATAAATTTTTACTTTCACTTTGCCTACTATAAAAAGACTATCAAATGAACGATGCATTGAGCAATGTCTTATAATGCGTAACAAAGCAAGTGCTTGACAAGTCTCGCAGGATTTTCACGGTGAAAATTGCAATATGAAACCAGTGTCGATAAAATAAAGCGCGATTTGCAGGATCTACTTTGGGGTTTGCAGCAGCACATATGTGAGTATTCCTACTTGGATTTTAATGAACGGCTGATACAATCCACTGTTTTGCACTGGTGCCCTCATTTTATGCTCACGGGCCATTGCACGTAGAGTAAATGTGCCGTTCTGTCGTCAAGTCATCTTTGGAATCGTGATAATATGAGGGACGGAGTTCCACGTCTGAGGCTCTTGTAGGGAGAAAATTTTCGTCGGCAACCTTGTCGACTGTACTGCATGACAAGTTTAAACTGTCGGTTCCTTAGATATGTCTCGGCTGAGATTCCAAAAATGGTGGCAAGTGTAGTTTGGTTTTTAGTTTCGTATGCACCATTGTGACCCTATCCCGGAGACGAACAACCTCCGCTGTACAGTGTTATAGCCTAGTTTAAGTTGATAGGGAAGTTAGGACAAACCTATAACGTTGTTTTTCTCCCTCCGTTGTGCACTCTCAAGTGCGGTGAAGTAATGGTTCAGGTCGGACCGTCACTCCTGGATAGCGTATTCCACGTGTGGCCTCACGTACACGCTAAGCATTTGCGAAAGAACTGAGGCGTCGAACTTTCCGACCGCTTTATGCAACAGACCAAATTACTTCTTTGCTTTCTTTGATGTGCCAATTTGATTCGGATACCAGTGGGATTCAGTGAAGATTTGAATCCCAATGTCATACAAACGATGGATATCGCGTACGGCTTCTGATGGCCATTCACTTTTCTTCTGCACTGTATTGCTCGTGTGGATAAATTCTAGTAGAATTCTGCATGACGAATCCCTTTCAACTAGGAGTTCTCTGTATTCACTCAAAAATAGTCATTTATTCCACATTGGAAATGCTATTTTCCGTTCCCCCTCATTCTAGTCTTATTTTACTGTCCGAAATTGACCTATTCGCTCTCACTTAGTAAGTCTAACTTTCGTTAACTGGAGCTTGGTACTTCCTTCTCAGCTGCAGATAGTATTTTGCGGTATGTATAGCTTATAGTGGACCTCATCCGCCTGTTTTCCAAGCCTTTATCAAATTCCTATTTTCATTGCGGATATCCGGAGATTACTTGTGCCTAACTATAGTTTCCTACTATATTCGTTTTGCGCACTACATTTTATCTGCTCCTTTGTATTGGCGCTTTCTATCCAATGAATATGTTTTTACTAGAAGCCACTCTGCATTTTGTTACCATATTTTCCATATCTCCTTCCATGAATTTGATTCTCTTCCCTGTGCAAGCGCTAACATTTTGTTATTGAGAGTATATAGTATCCACTTGCTGCACACTTTGTGACGAGTACATTTAGATATCTCCCAGGCCTAATAAAAAAACTGCTGGAAGCGTTATTCTCCTGCTTGCTTCTAGTGGTCACCTCTTTTTCCTCGGAGATACTTAAACTAATGCTGTTACCAACTCATACAGGTTCGGCGAATCAGTGCGCGCTTCTTGCCATAATTGCTTTCACACTAATGTGTATACATCATAATTCATTATAAACCTCCAACTCGTCTCCATACTTAGCACCTTTCGTGGACTTTGTCTGCATTTCTTCTCCATATTGTTTTCTAAAATGCTAGTGAGTGATTACTTACGGCCACTCGTGTCTCTCCCGAGCTGGGGCCAACACTCTAACCTTGGATGACATCTGGTGTATTGTTGTCACTTGACTTCTCTGGAGTCACTGAATACTGAATACTGTATTTTGGAGCAAGTAGAAAATAATTCTGTACAACTCCATCGGGTGATAATCAAAAAACATTTTTAAAAAAAATAAATAAACACGTCCGGTGGTTATCCTGAGATGGTTCAGCAACTCCTTCTGTAGCACACAAAATGCTTGTTTACACAGTGAGTCACAAGTGGGTGATATCGTTGTCAAGTGGCAACCGTTCTCTGAAACGTATGTTAGCGAAGTGTACATCCAACAAAGCTTTGAATTTCTGCACAGATTCGGCCTCGACGACGTGTTCTGGCAGACTGTTCCAGGCGTGCACAACCCTCCGCTCGAAACACAGGGGGTGTGGGATTTTCTTCAGATCAGGTACCACGAGTTTGTACCTGTGCCCACGTGTGGTGCATGGTACTCGCAAGTGGAGTAACGACCTTAGCATGGGGAAATGACCGAGATGTAAAATACGGTAGGTCATGATAAGATCCACTCGAACACGGCGATATGACAAGGTGTAGAGCCCAAGTTTCATGCACCGGTTTTCATACGAT